CGGGTTGGGTGAGGTCATTAGCTATATTGTGCTTGAAGGGTATATAGTGTTCATTACAGACCTGAACAAGGTATTTGCAACGGAGGGAGATGGCCAGCGTACAGTCGAACTCGCCAAGTTTGCTGCACCCGAAAGAATCTTGAAGGATATCCAGGGTGCTTTCCGCAACTTCGCAGTGTTTACCGAAACAGGCGAGGTCATGATAGGGAACTCCGAACATATCCGGACAGCATTTGATTTTGCCGATGATCCTGACCATGTCTTGTCTCCAAAACTTCCAGCTGGATTACAACATAGCGAGGTGATATCAGTCTCATTCGGCGATTACCATTACACTGCCCTCCATGCCAACGGAACAGTTTCTAGCTATGGAAGTGAACCCAGGGGTTGCGGCTCGCTTGGACTTGGGAGTGCCTTAGGAGGCATCCCCCTTCGTGGCCTCATGAAGCCTGGGCCCGGGTCTTTCTCTAGAGACGTGTACTATTTTGAATTTGCAAAAGAAAAACGGCACAATGTCTGGTTCGAACCTGAGAAACGGGAGTGGCTCAAGTACTTGGCAAGTGGAGCTGGATCTCAGGGCGATGGCTCAGACTGGTTGACGTCCCTCGAAGAGAATGACCAAGGGCTCCTGGAGAAATACAGCACTTGTATCGAAAGAGCGGGAGAAAACTGGGACAACCTTCCAGACGTCAAACCCGAGGATACAGATGGTCTAGGTGCATATTTCACCCTCAGTGTCGCATCTGCTGGATGGCAAACCGTTGCACTTGTGCTTGTTGATAAGGAGCTAGCCGAGAAGGTGAGAAGGAAGCACCTTGTCAATGTGGAAGAGAGTAATGGTGCTGAAGGTGAGTCGAAGCTTGATAAACGAAATCCCCCTTCTCCTTCCCCAATTCCATGCAAGGCGTATCTTTGGACGAGAGGCTAATAAGGAAATAGAAACTCCACGGTACAAATGGGAGCTGCAGAAGTACCCCCCACTACAAACCAATGCTCAAGAAATTATTGAAGTTAACAAGTATGACTTTGATACCTGGGTTTATGGATTACCTCCATTGGAAAATAGTAGCATTCAAGATTAGAGCTCTAAATACGGGCTAGAGTCTTCTGCGATAGCTTTTGTCATTTAACTGGACTTGATATTTGCGGTAGATGTAGATTTGACGACAAGATGTTGTTATTTGTGCTTCACAAATTGATGAATTGGCTGATAGTGATTATATCCAAGCCATCACCCGCGTTGCAAGAAACTCAATGCCCCAGTGTGGCATTAAGTAAGTAATATAGAAGGGCAAAAAGTAGTATTGATAAGGCTATGGCACCAGTCCGTCCAGAAAGAACAACGCCATACCTAAAACTCCAGAGAATGTCCAACAAGAAATGCTAGGACATGAAATACAAAGGCTATAAAACCACGAAAAGATGGAAAAGATGGTGCATTTGAACATTGAACAAATGTGCAGCCGCGATAAATGGGAAATAGCTCCCAGAGAAAAGAATATTGAAAAACCCGCATCCAGCTAGGCTGAATCCCCGCTTCATAAGTGTAATAAATCATCAAAGCAAACGCAGAAAAAACAGGTAGGAAACAAGCAAACGAATGAACGAGGGAACGGGGAAAGTTCAAATAACGAGAACAGCGGAAAGAATGAATACGCCGTAGGTATCGTGTGGTTTTTAAAATGGTGAAGCGAGCGAGCAAATAAGTACAAGGCTAATCTGACCAGAGAAATTTTTTAAGCAATAAAAGACAGTCCAAGTAGTGTTTGATGTGACGTCCGATTTGGACAAGAAGGATAGTCAATATCCAAGGCAGGCCTCGATGCATTGCATTGTATTGCTTTGAGTTGTATGTGAAGAAGGGTAATTGTATGTGCGGTCGTTAAATCATGGGGTGTAGTTATCGTTTGGCTTGAAATAATGAAGGAGGGATAGATGTAAGAAATAGCGAGGAATGAACTCTAGGGAGAGAGTGAGCTCTTGCTCAGCCATGAATTTAGCATCTCATCTAGGCGGCTGGACATATCGTTCAACGCCTTGCTTTCCTCCCGGAAGAGGCTTCCGATGAGAGGGTGGTCTGGCCCGGCAGCAGGGACATTGGATTTGTCGTGTACGATGGTTAGGAGATCGCGGATATCACTGCCATCGTCCATGTATGCGCGCAGCCCGCTGTCGTTCCAGGCAGGGATGATGCTTGTCGATGGTGATACGGATTGCTCCTGGCTTCTGTCATCTTCGAGAGTGGGATCTTGGGAGAATGCAGGGGAGGCTGTTGGGGAAGGTGAGCCAGTTTGTTTCGATGAATACTGGTCTTTGTCATGGGACAATGAGTGTTGATCTTCGAAGTTGTCGTCGTAGTGATTGTTAAGTTCAGGGTCCTGCTGCACTGGGTCAGCAGCGTGAGAGACGCTGGCTGGTTTCTTGCTTGAGTGGGTGGAGTATGTTGAGGTTTGGGAGGATGAGTATTGGTGCTGGGCTTGGTTTGCTGGTAGGTTGGTGGAAGCGTCTGGTGTGGATTCTGATGAATCGCGGGGCTCTTTGACAAGGGAGAGGTTTGGTTCAGGCCTCTCCTGCAATGATCTATCTTGCTTGTTGGTGAGTGGCCTGAGCACCTCTGGAGATCGTACCCGTGTACCCTGCGCCGAGGAAGATCGTGGCTGGGGACGTTGCTGATGATGTTGTTGATGCTGCTGGAGTTGCTGTTGGGGCTGGTGCGGTTGCTGCTGTTGCTGTTGGCCATGCGATTGAAACGTTTGTTTAGTTGCTGGCGGCGATTGAGGAGCTGCAACTTCTTGTCGTGAGGTGGATCGTCCACCTTCATGCCTTGCACCAGAGCCCTGTTGCTCTCCAGGAGGCGTTTTTTGAAGCTTGCTGGGAGTTCTCTGTAAAGCGACTGCTGGTTTAGATCCATCTCTGCCGTGGTCACCCATGGTACCGGTTGGAGTACTTGATCGGATGGATTCCTCCGAGATCTTTTCTTGGTCGTCATCGTCATCTGTGGCCTTGGTTTTGCGGTCCCTTCTCTTAAATAGGCCACTGAGCATTCCAGGCTTCTTGTCCTTGCGTTTCTTGTCATCTTTGTTTTTGTCACTAGGTGACACTTTATCATATGATTCAAAGCTTCCACGGACTCTCGAATCCTTGTCTGGTTGCTGTGCAGTGAGGGAATCGTCACGTAAAAGGTTGGGAGTAAGAGAGATTTTCTTTGTCTCGAGTGTATCATCCTTGAAGAACGAATCAGTATTGCGAACGACCCCATTCCTGGACCGTCCGGGTTGGAAGTCTAGTGGCTTGTTAGCATGTGGTCCTTCCAATGAAGAATAGAGAATCAAACTCACCCTTGTCAAGGTCGTCATTATGTTCCTCCAGACTATCTTTGTTTTCAGACCGATGTTCCTGCAAAGCAGCCGTCTCCTTCTGCTGTTGCTTGGGCCGTAGTGGCTCAATTCCCATGTCTTCATCCTTCCTTGAGGCATCTTGTTGCTGTTGCTGCTTAGTGTGTGCGGACTTCTCATGTACCTCGTGCTCTTCTTCTTCCTCATCCTCTTCCTCGTCTTCCTCATCGTCTTCTAAGAAATGCTCTTCCTCCTCTTCTGAGCCTGTCGAGTAGTCAATTGGAGCCTCTTCGGCTTCGAAGCAGAGCGGTTCGTTGAAAGTGACAGTCTTGCCATGTCTTCTGCGCATGGCAATTCTCAGAGGGTTCTTTGACTTTTCCGCATTGTCTCCTAGCATGGTGGCGGATAACTGTAGAAGTATGAATTAGCAAGAAGAAAAGACAGGTAGTAGTAGAATCGGGTATAGGAGTGTGTTCCATACGTCAATGTTGCGGTGTTTATTAAGACGGGCCAGCCTTTCAGTTGGGGTTTCGATATGTTCAGCCGGCAGGTAGCCTATACCAAAGTCAGAATTGGGGCAGTTAGGACGTAGGGGAGATGTATAAATGAAGTACCTATGCTCCCATCCTTAACGACGCGCACCAGCCACCAGTAGCTGTTGCTGTCATCAAGGAGGACCATGGTGTCGCCCTTTGTTGCATTAGCCTGACCTTCGACGGTGGCAATGAAGGTATGCAAAGCATAAACAAATTCGAAATCAATATTTTCTGTAGGATAGGTTAGTCTTAATGGCACGCTTAGTGGAGAGTGATTATGCTGTACACACCATCGTCAATGGACGGCGAGCTTGATATTTTGTCCATCATGTCGTCGTCCAGGTCCTGGTCGTCCTCATCGCCCTCCATCTCCTCCTCGGTCGAGCTTCCATTCCTTGACTCATGGGACATGTCACCATTCGCTACGCCATTGGGCTTGCTGCCGTCTGCTTCGTCGTGCTCCCGGTACACTTCAAGCCCGTCCCGGTGAGAGTATACCTGCGAGTTTCCATCCGATCCTAGGGGACCCTTTGACATCTCATCCTGGGCCTCCTGTTCCACCTTGCGGAGAGACTGGTCCTGGTGCGCACCATTCCGTCCATCAACGGCAGAAGCGCCGCCCAGTTTTCTAGCATGGTCTTGGGTAGAAGGCGACTGGCGGTTCTGAAGGTCAATTGTATCTATAAGAAGGGTTGTTGTTCGTCAGCAACCAGACCTTCACAAGTACAGCGCAGGTAATGCAATCAACCGCTCAGTGTCTCACCTGCTCGGATCATCTGGGGTCTCGTCATGATGGCAACCTATCGACCAATGTCCTGTTCGATCTGGATCACCGGCGGGACAGCGAGAGATAAAAAAAAAAAAAAAAAAAAAAATATTAAGAGTTGTCGTGGGTTGCGAGGAATACAGAGAGAGGACGGGGAGTTGGTGAGAGCTTGACAACCATTCATGGAATGGAATATATTAAAAGTACTCCGTATCCAAAGGCAATATAAAACCCTCCCAACCAAACAGTCCTCCTTGTAGCACTATGAATCAAGTACTCCGTCTGCGCGATGTATTAAGCGTGCGAACTGCCTGAAACATCCGTCCAATATACCACCCATCCAGGTCTTGACCAATGCAAAAAATGAAGGAAGATGGCCGTTTGACGAAGGCGTTTACCGCGAACAGAGCAGCGATCGGGAGAGGAAGACCCGTTGGCAGGGAAAAACACGACAAAAACGAAGGAAGCGAAGGAGAACAAGACCGAGACCAGGAAACAAAACGAGGAAGAAGAAGAAGAAGAGGAGGAGGAGGAAGAAGAGGAAGAGAGAGAGCGAGGAAGGCCGACCGTCGCGCAGTTCAGGAAGAAGATCTCAAACAAGCCATCGCATCGTCAGGCAGCTGGAAAGCGACGAAAAGACCAAAAAGTGGAAAAAAGGAGGAGGCGGACGGGCAAGGGAACCCCAGCCAATCAGCATGCAGAATTGAAATGAGTTTAAACGCGCTGCAGCCAATGGGAGCGCTGACATCGCAGACATCCCAGCGCCCCCAAAAGGGAAAGAAGCAACTTACATACACGATGACATAAGCTGTCCTGGCGCCGCTGTCACGGGACTCTCGGCCCGACGTATCCCCGTCCTCGCTGACTCAGCTGTCACATGAACTCACATGACACTGACGTCACCTTCACCTACTTATCTACCAGCATCAGCATCAGCCATCAGCACCAGCACCAAGCACCAACAGCGATCCGCGCCCCCCCCAAGCCCCCCAGTCCGCATGCGGCAAGGCGCCGTCGCCGCAAGCACCCACTCTGGAACTTCATTTCGTAATAGAAAAGCGTAAGTCACAACGCACAAAAAAGCAAAGGGCTTGGCGCTACTGATAAGCGCCTGCGCGTTATCTCTGCCCTACCCTAGGCCCAAAGGGGTATTATCGTAGCTGGTCCGACCTCCCGGGTTCTTCCGGGGCCTTCTTTTTCGCCCTTCTTTTTTCGTTTTTTGCGCTGGCTGCGCGAACGCCCAGGCTTGCCTAACTGGGCCACTCTCCTGCGTCCTATTCCTCATCTCAACCTCGACGTCTTCTTTTCTTCTTCCTCGTCTTCCTCTTCTTCCTCTGCCCATATATCACCACCCAAGTCTGCTGCTGTCTCGACTGCTTTTTGACTGCCCGCCTCTTGCTCCAGACTTCATACCCACTCTTGACAAGCGACCGACCTAATAACTACCTTGCGTAGCAAGAAACACGACTCGCGCAAAAAAAAGACGTGCTGCGTCCTGCGTATGTGCCCTTGCGTCGGCTCGCCAGGACAACCAACCTCAACCAAGAGACTGCACACTCAGGAGCGCCCGTAAGCCAGAAGCAGCAGCAGTTTGGAAGAACGTTGCCCGTCTGCTGTGATCTATTCGCCTTCGCCTCATACCCTTCGCCGAGGGTATGGCCCATGCTCAGGCGCTCGCATTTACAGAACTGAACATCGACGCTGACTGCACCACCTCGTCTCCCGTGCTAGACCACGAAGAGCATGGACCGATGTATCAACGCGGCGGAAGCAATGGCCTGAACCGTCGCCTTTCCCCCAGCGGCCACTCTCCCTCTCCGCCCCTGTCTCCCTCTGCCTCTCCCTCTGCCTCTGCCGGTGCCGGTACTGATGCTGGTGCTGCCCATACGGCTGCCAGAAAGGAGGAGACGGAGCAGTCATGGACGCCTCACGTACCAACGCCGCCCATCAGCGTGCCTTACCCCGAGGACAAGCTTCATGGCTCTCCCGGCGTTGATGAGGTCTGCGAATATGACCCCAACCGGTACCAGGACCCGTCACCCCTGGACCACCACTTTGGCAGGACCCGGAGGCCCTCCATCAGCTTCAATCCCCAGGTCACGCTAGAAACCGGTGACCAAATCGCCCTGGAGCAGCCCATCGGCAGTCTTGGAAGGAGAAGCCAGATTGGCGTCAGGTCTGCTTCCGGTCCTGGATCGTCAGAGCTCAAGCAGCTCTACGCCAATGCCGCTCCTGAGCGTCTCGCTCAGACGGCAGCAGCCAGCAACAATGACAGGGACGGATACAATTCCCACCATGATAACCACCACAACCATCGCCATAACCACGATCATCATCATCCTCATCATAACCACCACCAAGGCCCTCGTCATAATGATAGCTCGGGAGATGACTTTTCTCAGTGTCACTCTCCACGGGCTTCCCCCTTATCAGAGGTTTTCTCCGCCGATGATGATCTTCCTCGGCCTACGTCTTTGACCTCACTTTCGACGGCTTCTCCCCTCTCTGATGAACTGAGAACGCCGCCAGATTCACGCCAGGGCAGCCTCACCTCACCCTTTTTATCTTCACCAAACCTCCGCCGCCATGGTTCGATCGACAGTGAAGGAGACTCGTGGCCGAGTCTCTCCCGTCATCTCTACGGCAGCCTCACCGAAAGCTACTCCTTTGGTCGACGTACAAACAGTCTACGACAATCCATGCGTTCTTACTCTCGCAAGTCGCCCAACATGAGCGGCAAATCACCCGCCAGCGCTTTTCTCTCTACCATGAACCGTGAAGAGGCTCCTGCTCCCAAGCCTGACGACGAGGGCCAGGTCATCGGGCAGGACTACGTTATCGGCAAGCAGATCGGGTTTGGAGGCTTCAGCACCGTCAAGGAAGCGTTCAAAGTCACTGACGAAGGCCAGACGATCCGTCATGCTGTCAAGATTGTGAAAAAGTACCTCTCGGGCAAAAGTGAGAGAGAAAACGACCAAGCCCAGGCCGAATTTGACCACGAGGTTCGCATCTGGCGATACCTTAACCATCCGCATATCCTGCCGCTTGATGCGGTCTACGAAACTGACTACGCTACATTCTGCTTCACAAAACTTACCGAAGGGGGCTCGCTATTCGACCTGGTCAAGAAGAAGCGCCATGAAATCCCACTTTCCCATGCAAAGCAGTACTCCTACCAGTTGGCCTGTGCTCTTCGATACCTACACGAGGACGCCCGTGTTGTCCACCGTGATATCAAGCTGGAGAACTGCCTACTGCAACCCCAGGAGGATTCTGGAGATATCCCCCGCTTGATCCTTTGTGACTTTGGCATGGCCGAATGGATGACCACCGACACATGCAGCTCGCCAGACCCTTACGACAACGCCGCTGATCGACCTCCACCCAGAACTATCGGACCGTCGGACACAAGCACCAGCGTGGCCGGCAGCCTGGAGTATGCCTCCCCGGAGCTCCTGATGGCCAACGTCGGGGTCCTCGATCCCGTTGTCGACGTCTGGGCGTTTGGCGTCGTTGCCTACTCCCTTATAGTCGGTTCCAGACCTTTCCAGAGTTCTTTCCAGCCACGTATCCCGAGCAACATTCTGGCTGGCAAATGGGACCGCAGCGCTGTCTTGGCTACCTCGGACGAATCCGAGAAGCAAGACCGTGAAGACGCATTGGAGATGATTGAGGGGTGTCTTGAGATGGACCCCATGAAACGATGGACGATCTCCGACGTCCTTGCTTGCCGATGGTTTCAAAGCTGCGCGGATACTGCGGAGCTCGCCACTCGCCTCAATCGATGGGGGTTCTCCTCTTGAAAGGTGTGAATGGGGAAAAACAATCACATCTACCAATACCATCACCAACTAGCATCTGGAGGCATTCATTTGATGTTCGCTTTGATTCCACTTCTCCACGTTTTGAAAGTTAAGCGTTTTAGCTTCTTCTTTTCTTCTTCTGCTCCTTTTATTTTTTCTCTTTTCTTTTCTTTTCTTGTTCTTCTTACCTCTTGTTAACATCATCTACTTTCATGCTTGTTGATTGCTTGCTGGGATGGCTGCCTCATGTCTTATGCATGTTCCTGTCTCTATTATCATTATTGCTCGTGTCCCCTTTTTTTTTGTTACGCTCTCATGACTGATACCCTGTACCCTCTTCCGTCCTATTCGCATCCATTCCATTTTTCTCGGCTAGTTATCCCTCGCTTTGTTTCTTATTCCTTCTTGTTCGTTCATGTACTCGTTGGCGGGAAACATCTTGATATGGCTGGCTCATCTTCTTTTTCCTCTTTGACTCGTTCCTCATCTGCGTAGGATATCATGGGTCTCATGTGTTGCGTTCTCTGCTCTGCTCAGCTACTGGTGTTAACGGTGTCTCACGTCTCTTCTCCTACTTATTTGTTAATGTCTCTTCGCTCTGGCTTCTTATGATGAACGGACATATGGGCATGGCATGGCATGGCATGATACGGCGTGGCGGATGGCGTGGTATGAGAAGTGGTGTGTTTGTGGTGTGGTGTGTTGCAATATGTGTGTACCTAGCTATCAACCTGCATGGTCCGCTCCTCTCTTCATCTCCCTCCCTCCCCTTCCCTCCCTTTCTCCTACCTGGCATCTCAAAGCGGTTTCGGGCCTCCTCCATTACTCCTCCCCCACATAAGTAATAGTCCTCTAATCCTACCTATATTCGCCTCTTCTCCACGTCTCCTATCGTAAGAGTAACGACAGCTAACTTGACCAAGACTCCACACTGCTGTTAATCTTAGATGGCCCCCCCTTGCTCTCCCAGGAGACGGGCATCCATCTCATTGGCCTGGACTCCATGTACTATCTGTGTACAGAGCACTCTGTTTACACTCGACTGCTGTGGAGACGAAGGCTGCATCTGCTCCTAACCCCTGTGCATGCACTCGTATGCTGCATATATACTTCACACACACGTATAGTAACTCCCATCTCACTCCTGTCCACCAGAGTCAATCTGGTCGGCAGAGCAAGCTAGCTCTCCTGTCCCTGTCCGACCGTCTTAATGTATGTCCACCTCTGGTGCAAGGACAGGGCCCTCCCTTGTCCTGGTCGCTTAGTCTCCCTGCCCAGCTGTCCCTACCTCCGAGCCAGGAGAAGAAAGCATATCCCACGTCTGTCCCTTTATATTCCTAATTCCGAGAAACAATGATCCCTACCGCTGACCGAAACGGCATGGGCGAGTGTGTGTGTGCTGTCTTCCCTTACTTACTTTTGTGGCAAAGATGAGGAGGGAGGAGGAGGTGGAAAGGTGTAGGTGAAATCCTGATATTCGCGCCGGCGATCTCGCAGCGAACTTGTTTATGCCCCGTCCCGCCCCTCACCACCATCACCAGGACTGTCGCCGTCCTCTCCTCCTCTCTGCGGGCACCACCACCATAAAGCTATGAGTTATTAGTGGGTCTGCAAAGAAGGCCGCCGAAAGTAAAGTACTTCACTCCTCTCTTGTTACTCGAGCGTTGCTCGACGTGGGGGGGGGGGGGAAGCGGACGGACGGTCGGCGTTTGGGCGAGGGCTCGGTTGACACTTCGCGAACTAAAGCGTAACTCGGCGTCGTTCATTGGAAGGCCTCTTATCTACCCCATATTACGGGCTGCAGGTTTGACGGAGAAACGCAGCAACTTGCGTCTGTGGATTGCGGAGCACAATCCTCCATTCTTCCCTGGCTTGCTGTATAACCCCGTTGTTCGCATGTGTGCATGTGTTATCTTCTGACTTGCCTGGCTCTGCTGCCTGCAGGTTAGACTTCCTGCATCCCAGGCTGCCTCGACTGCGAGCGCGCGCGCAGAGAGGACGACGCTGGCTGGACGGTAGACGGCATACGGTGGTTGTACACTCATATCAGTTCACTAGTAGCATGCAGACCGTGACCAGGGCTCGAAATAAAATAAGCAAAGGAAACAGGACAAGTCTGCTCGGCGGTGGCTTGACTGGTTGTATTTAAAAGTGATAGGAGTTTCCATTAGGAATGATATTTGATAACCTGGCATGGCTGCTGGTCTTGGTGTCAGATCTGACTAGCGTGGTGTTACTCTTTGGCGGGCTTCCGAGATATTGTTTGCCTGAGACGTACCGGGCACACGGATAAGACGATGGAGCTGGAAGGATGGAGATGATTATGTTCCCTTCCTTTTAATTGTTTGAAGTTATCTATAATATACAGTTGGTACATCTTACATGAGCTAATCCCCAAAAATCCAAAAGCATACATTCCCGTTTCACAAAGACAGCAGGCAGATTAGTAGGAAAAAAAAAAAAAAAAAAAAAGAAGGCCACAGAAAACCGACAGTCACGGTCAAGGGAATTATTAGCCGGCAAGAAGATCAAGAACACTACCAGACTCTGTTCTCTGCCGACTTCTTGACGGCCTTCTTCGCCTTCTGCTCTGCGGATGGCGGTGTGAAGAACAAGCTGGGGCTGTCTCCCTCCTTGACCAGGTAGCTCAGGTACCCTCGGTGGGCTGGGTCTCGGTAGTACTCAATATCCCTTCGGCTGGTCGGGTCAGGAAGACGGTACTGGAACCCATTGCCCTTCGTCAACGGTTTATCGACGCCCATGCCAATCTTCTGCATCAGCTCGGTGTCGATGTGGGAAACGTCCTCGCCCTTGGCGGCCGCCTCAGCAAGTTTCTCCGAAGTATCCTTCCATGCAAGAGAGACATAAGGGTCAGTCTTGCCGCTCAAAATCCTCTTGATGGCGTGTCTGGTGTAGTATCGAGTCGTGATGGAGCCACCAGCTGCCTCGACGGCCTGGATTGCACTGGCAGAGGCGCGTGAGACAATGATCGTGATGGGTTGTTTAAGGGCCCCTTCTCCTCCGCGTGAGAGCAATTTAACTCCATCCTTTATGCCGTGTATACATCTAGACTTCACCAGTTCTCGGAGTGTTATGGGCTGTGAAGGATCGAGGCGGCCTTGGTCAATCCAATCTTGGATGCGATCAAGGTTGACGGGAGATATTTTCAACGCGAATCTATAGTTCAATTCACACACCATATTAGCATGTTTAATGCAGATGAGTGAAATAGTCTCCAATTGAAGGTTATTTTTTCAACTCACATGTTGTCAAAGCCCCTCTCGCCGTGCACAACTTCGTCCGGCGTCTGTCCTCCATTGAAAAATGCCTTCTTGCTTCCCCTCTGGCCCTGACCCTTGTGACCACGACCGGCCGTCTTTCCCTTGCCTGAGGCAGGACCAAGACCACGGCGGATCTTCTTGCTGTATGCTCCTGGGTTGTCGGAGAGCGAGGCTAGAATTGAAGCCGCTCGGGTCTGGGTATGGATGGACGGTAATAGGAAAAGGAACGACGGTGAGACATGTGACTGAATGGAGGATGAAATCAACGAGACGGATTGCGACAGAAGCCGCAGCGGCAGTCGTGGAGGCATCGTGGTCGCTTGAATTATTCGCTGCTTCGTCGCTTTTTACATCGTCGTCAAACTGCAAAAAGCTCTTTGGTAAGATTTTTTGCTTGAGAAAGCCATATCACGTGATGCAATATTGGACCAACCAAATGGCTTTGTGTGCCTGTCTACAGAGTTACATATTGAGCAAGAGGCACACGAAGCATGCAATACGCAACAAAACAAACCCGGCCTCTTCCTCCCGATAAATCACCAATATTGGGGTCGGAGAAGATGAGTGCTACAGCATGAACAACTAACTAACAGCCATAACGTATGATGGATATTGAAAGGGGCCCGGATTGCATCCGGCTTCTTCCGAAGGCTATTTCTGAAACCCGGTTGGCGCGCTGACACTGTGCAGAAGCTGCTTATCAGTATCCCTCCATCAACACCACACCATACCTGCATGCTCCCTCCATATCGGCTCACCCTCGCAGCCTTTTCATCTTGATGGTGGCTGACAATAATGCAACAGGGATTTAGATTTCCCGCTTGGAGGTGGCATGTTCTCTTGAAGGATGTCATGCTATCCCGCATCCCGTGTTGATGCCTGATATTTCATCTCCCTCTGACCGTGAGTGACGCAGGCCTTTTGCCGATCTCCGAGCTGTCTCGTGTTATTCAGTCATTGTTCCTGGCATGGCATGCTCCAATTGCTCCTTTCTGGGTTCTTTTGAGATGTGAAAAAGCTGAGGGGTTAATTGGCGAGAAGAGTGACCATCCTCGAGTGACGTACATGGGCACTCTATGGGCGTTTCCCTGCAGGACGATCAAGACTAATTTCGCATCTAACGTACGTATATGCAGAACATGAGTTGTAGATTAATGCAATTGGTAATGAACAAAATTGTATTGGTTGGTATGTAATGCTCTAGTATCAGCAGGTATAACAGGGGGGAAATGGAAATGATACATCAATAGGTCAAAGGCATGCATATATATGCTACAGCGCACACAAGGGTCAGAAATAGAAACGCCAAATACGGAAGAGCTCGTCAGGGAAAAAAAAAAAAAAAAAAGGCGTGAAGTAATAACCACCGCAAGGGACATGGAGACAAGATAGGCTGGTACAAGGAGCGGTAATCATCAATTATATGGTATATAGAACTCCAAAGGGGGGAAAACTGTTCGAAAAGTAAGATGAATCATAAAGGTGAGTGGCAGTCAAAAGAATCGAATACGGTCTAATAAGCTGAATGGCCACCATGTGCCGAGCTTCGGTTGTGGTACATGCTGCCAGCATACTCCGAGTTGGTGTCAACATAAAAGGTGGCCCGGCGTTCTTCTTCGGGTAAAAGCTCTTTCACTTCCCAGTTGTTCTGTTTGAGACCAACAGAGAACTCGAGATCTTCCTTGGTGATGGAGTCCCAGTACTAGTGGATGTTGATTAGTATTGACTGTGTAGGAGGGGGGTATTTCAGAAATCTTACCTTATAGATCATCATGACAGAGAGCAGATTGCAGAAAGTAACGAAGAACAATCCATCTAGGTAATGTTGAACACCCTCGCAGACCGTGTCGCTAAACACGTATAAAATGACTTGTCCAGCAACGAAGAAGAAGACACCAAACGTAATGTGTCCCAAAGGCCAGCGATCTTGGAGAGTATTGACGACGAGAATAATCTGCATAATCACGTATATGGCCAAACACAAGGCGTTCAACACATACAGAACCACGAACATGGCAACAGTATTCGTCGGGGAAAGACCTGCCCATCCTTGGAAGGTCAAGAGAGATATCGCTCCAGACACTAAGCCCATTCCCAAGGAGGAGAACCGCAACAACCATACCGAAAGGGCAGTGCCATCTTCATATAACTGGAATCCAACAAAGCCGTTGATCAAAAGACTCGTACACATCGCGGACGTCAGACCATTTTGTACCGCAGCAAAGTAAGGCATAGCTGCACTGCCTGGAGGAGTTACCCCCGTATCAAGTACAAGCGAGCAGACGGTGAGAGCCATATAAAGGTAGAAGGACGTTATGATTTCCTTTCGGCCTATAAAAAGCGAATGAACGCATTAGTCGCCATCACCTGGGCTTGGAGAAAGAGTTTTCGCGCAAGATATCCTTACCGACTGCAGTAAACTTCGATCGGATATGAATGATCATAACCACTGCCATTCCCAAAGCCATGATATGTATTATTCCTGCCGCGCCCTGGAAAATAATTGTGTTGGCAACCTCGATGCTTCTCGCATAACAGTTCGGTAGTATTCCTCTTGTCCCTGCGAATCCCGTCTTCGGTCCAACGAGAGAGCATAGCGGCAACGCCGCCTTCCGGCATATCGCGTCAAAATCTCCAAACCCCATGGCGTCCAGGCCTGGCACACCAGTTGGGAATGCGGCTATCGGACGAGCAAGGCGTGCAGCGGGGCGCTGAACTGTCGAAGTTGAAAAGGGGTCCCAATCGGCAATCCAAGAGTGCAGCTGAAGCAAGAGGGGAGGGTAAATATCCGTGACCAGTAGCAGTGTGACCAAAAAACGAGCGAAAAGGTCAAAAAGCCATGCGTAGTCGCGATGTGTGGACACAGAGCTGGCAAAGACCAGATGTCGATGCTTGATATTGGGGTGAGACCAATGTCTGGCACGGTCTGGCCAAAAATGGAAAAGTGAGGTTGGGCGTTTACTTTTTCCTATTTTAGTACTAGCGCTTAATCTGGATTATATAAGAGTCGCAACCCAGGCAACCTGAAATATGGAATTCGAATTCGACAGAGTATAAGTTGGAGCCTTTGCCCTGTCTCTATAAGGCAGTACATTCAGTAAGAAAGCCTGAATTGGCCGTTAGCTACCTTACCTAGATTTCGTCATATTGCTGCGGATTTGTTCTACTATTTTTAGATGCTACCCTTTTGCATAGATCAAGCGCTAGTGCAGCCGCATGTAATAATCACGTGATGATAAGCTCACCCGCGCTACTTTTTTTTTATCATCCACCAAATGTGAAATAGTAAAAATGGACTTTCTCTGAGTATAGACAAGACACACTTGAGCTTGAGCATACTTGTAACCATGAAGTTGGATGCGAAGGCCTTAAGATACTTGACCGGGGAAGACTTTCGAGTACTCACTGGGGTAAAGTAAATCGACTTTGTGAATTTCCATCTCTCGCTAATTGTGCCTACAGGTTGAGACGGGAAGCAGAAACCATGAGGTCGTTCCAACCCCACTAATCGTTCGACTTTCCGGCCTACGAGGAGGAAGTGCTGTTCATAAGTCTATATCAAATCTTGCGAAACTGAATTTAATTGCTCGGGTGAAAAATGCCAAATGTACGCATACACTATTTGAGAGCAATGTCAGCGGCTATTAGAGATACTGATGCGGGATGTTTTATTAGATGATGGTTATCGGCTTACATACGGAGGGCTTGACTATCTTGCTCTCAATACGTACCAAAAGCAGCAAGTGGTTTACTCTGTGGGAAACCAAATAGGTGTCGGGAAAGAATCAGATATTATAGCCGTGGCAGAGGCATCTGGAACGCAACGAATCTTGAAGATACATCGATTAGGGCGGATATCTTTCCGTTCGATCAAGAATAACAGAGACTATCTCCGACACCGAAGCTCTGCATCATGGATGTACATGTCCAGACTTGCTGCGATTAAAGAATTTGCATTCATGAAGGCTCTAAGGGACCATGGGTTTTCTGTCCCTGAGCCTATTTCACAAAATCGACATACCATCGTTATGAGTATGATTGATGCATTCCCCCTTCGGCAAATATCGTCTGTTCCCAACCCTGCTGCTTTATATGCAGAATTAATCGACACTATCATGGAATTGGCCAAATTTGGCTTGATACACGGCGATTATAACGAATTTAACATTCTAATAAAAGAAGAGGAAATACCTGTGAAAACTAACGAAGAAAATAAAGACAAGAAAGAAGATAATATCAAGCTCACTCCGGTTGTGATTGATTTTCCTCAGATGGTCTCAGTGGATCATGCGAACGCTGAGATGTACTTTGACAGAGATGTTAACTGCATCAAACGTTATTTCCAACGGCGTTTTGGGTTTGTCAGTGATGAACCAGGACCCTTCTTTTCTGAGGCCCGAAAACTGGTGGGGACAGACGGAACTCCTAGATTGGATGTGGCTGTCGAGGCATCGGGCTTTTCGAAGAAGATGGCTAAAGAGCTGGAGGCATATATGAAAGAAGTTGGTGTTGATGGTGATGCTCAGGGCATTGAAGATGGTCACGAAGACATCGATAACGAGTTAGACGTCGATGAGACCGAAGAAAATGAAGATGACAACTTAGGTCAAGGAGAGGAAAATAATGGCTTCGAAAATTCAGATGCAGACGAACAACTTGAGCAGAAACCGCAGATACCTGAACCCGATGCTAAGATCAAGATGGAAAAGCTCACCATATCTGGGCCTTCATAATTATTAAGAAAAACAAATGCTAAAAAATTTCATGTAATTAGACTAGGATCGGTATATGAGACCACGATATTTCTAATTATTAGACTGGCTGTATAAGTCCTTCTGACTCTTTACATCAATCAACCTTTGTCAACTCTTGGTGATGATTAAGGTTTCCAGATAAAGTTCGAGTACGGTGCGCGGGAGAGACCAACCGTGACTTTTTCAATCTCAAATGTTCAAAAAAAGTGCCTTCAAGGACTAAGCCAACAGCCATTCTCTGTCGATTAAACATTCCACTACTTACCGCCTCTTCAGGTCCTCACTTGAACTCCCTAATCCTTATCGAGAGGACAAATATTGCAATGGCATCTACAATATCCAAGGCGATACCTAAAAACCTGCCGAAACCACTTCCGCTTGACCAGCGGAAGCAGATATATCTGTCAGTCCATGAATAACAGTCCTGACCAGCTTTCCGGATCACTTACTGAATCTTTGACGCCTCAATTCGGTTTGATTATGCTGCCAGATTGCTAACTTTGTGTTAATTCCTTATGCAGACCAGATTTCGTGCTCACGCTCATAAGGACTCCGTTCCTACCGCCTCGATATGCCTCCTTTTGGGTCCCTCTTACCTTCAACAAACTTGACATGAAAGACTATATGAAGAGAGTATACAATGTCGACGTTATCAAAGTACGAAGCTATGTTGAACAGCAGAAGGTTACGCGTGAGCTTCCACGAGGAAGACAGGGTGTTGGCCCAATGCGGCGCCCGATGCCGAAGAAGAAAATGACGATTGAGATGACCGAACCCTTCGTGTGGCCTGAAGAACCAAAAGACTTTGAGCCGTAAGTTTAAACTTAGACAACGGGATCGCTTTGGATAATTTCCTAACTGCTATTTAGATGGGAACGAGACACATTCTTCGAAGCCAAGAAGATGCAAGAGGACTTCCAGGCGGCGCACGCTCACGACGCGCCAATGAAGGCTCCCACACGAAAACGACAACTGCTAGCCGAACAAGCAAAGCAGGTTCTAAAAGGTGAAGAGCAGTGGCAGCCAACCTGGCAAGCACTGGGCCTGAGCTCTCAGAGACCATTATTCAACAAGGAAGAACGCGAGCCAAAGGAAGCATCATAGACACAGGAACCAGTTCAGTCACCAGAAAGCTAAAACTGCGGAAGTCAATCCGGCGCAAGGCGCGTGCAGTTGTTGGATATAAAAATTTTCATCTGAAGACAGGAATGGAGGACCTCTACTATGACAAGAGCGTGTCTCCGGGATATTTCCTCGAATATATTATTGGAGGGTTATGTTTCACTGTTTGACCAGCTATAGCGTGGATGGGTTGTTGGTTGTACATTAGAATATTTTTACTGCTATGTATTATCAGATTATATTATTATATTTCCCCGGTTACTGTGTTGATTGGAAGATTTCCATCTCCCACAAGAAGTTGCATATTAGAGATAGGCATTAATAAGTCATGCAGTTAATTCCAAAATGCATTGCTAAATATACAAATGAATGAAGTATAGAGTTAATTTAATTAGACGCTGTAACGAGGGAGAAAGCAAAAGACAACCGAAATATGCAATATTCATTGCTGAACTCCTTGACGTATGTGATAACTCCGTCCATGAACAACCGTTTCATGTTCCATTATACGTTCCATTATACTCGTATCACACGGGAAAACTCCCAGTTGAGCGAGTACTACTACAACCGGCTCTCAAATACTGGGTGACGTTGCTCTCCAGGCCAATGGCCATCGGGCCAGATCTGTTTGATAGCGTCCCAGATGTGCCTATAAATTGGGGATATGGTTAGCAGCTGGTTTCAATTGCAGTATAATAAGTTGACACATACGTAACGTAGACAATATTAAGTCCTTCCTGGACTTCCTTCGGGACATCTCGAACATCCTTGACGTTTTGCTGGGGCAAAAGAACAGTTTTGACACCAGCTCGATGAGCACCGATCAGTTTCTCCTTGATTCCTCCAACGGGCATTACCCGTCCACGTAGAGATACTTCGCCGGTCATGGCAACCTCAGGTGGAACAGCCTTGCCGGCAAAAAGAGAAATCAAGGCAATGGTATGGGCGAGTCCGGCGGATGGACCATCTTTAGGGATCGCCCCAGAAGGACAGTGGACATGCAAGCTACGGTGTTTCATGATATCCTCATTAGGATCTTGTGTTAAGCCAAGTTCATACGAGTGAGCCTTGACCCAGGTAAGGGCCACCTCGACAGACTCCTTGAGAACATCACCGAGGGTACCAGTGAGTTGAACACTTCCGCTTCCAGGCATATCAGCCACTTCTATAAAGAGAATACTGCCCTGGCCGCCAGAGGAGTATGCGACAAGGCCTGTGACAATACCTGGCCTGGCCAGCTTCTCAGCGATTTCTTCGTCAAACCGCTCAATGCCTAGTATCTCATCAAGGTCATCGACAGATACGTTAGGGTTGTACTGGTCAAGTTGCGAAGAGTCTTTGGCGTCTGCATATTGAACTGCTTTAAATCGGCATACGGCGCCAATTTCGCGTTCAAGATTCCGTACACCCGACTCACGGGTATAAGAGGTTATAATCTTGTCCATAACCTCGTCCGTAATTATAACCTGGCCTTCAGATAGACCATTTGTTCGAATTTGCTTCGGGAGGAGGTGCTGCTTCGCGATATGCCTCTTTTCCACAGTGGTGTATCCGGATAAGTAGATAGTCTCCATACGATCCAGCAGTGGTGGAGGAATGGTTTCCAGAGAGTTTGCAGTAGCAATGAATAGTACCTTACTCAGATCAATGGGGATATTGATATAGTGGTCGGAGAAGGTGTGGTTCTGCTCAGGATCAAGGACTTCGAGCATGGCAGCTGATGGATCACCGTGGAAGTTTGCGCCGCCAACCTTGTCAATTTCATCAAGGAGCATAACTGGGTTTGAAACTCCGACTTTTTTAAGACCGTTGACAATAAGTCCGGGCATGGCTGCGACATAGGTTCTGCGGTGGCCGCGAATTTCGGCCTCATCCCTGACACCACCGAGAGAAATGCGGTGGAATTTGCGACCGAGTGATGTAGCAATGGATTTGGCCAAACTAGTCTTGCCAGTACCTGGAGGGCCAACCAGAAGGAGAATTGGTGATTTATCAACTACACGCTTCGACTTGAGCAGCTGTAGTTTTGTCTCAATGGCATCCCGTTCAGCGATGGAAGAAGAGTCATCGTCTTCAGTGGCGTTTTCCTTTGCTGTGAGGTCGTTAGAGAGCTCAGTGATCTGTGACTCAACATCATTGTTCAAAGATTGCTTCAGTTTCAGGACGGCGAGGTATTCCAAAAGACGCTTCTTGATCTTCTCGAGTCCATAGTGGTCGTTGTCTAACTGTTGTCTAGCCCGAGTTAGTGTTTCTGGGCCTAACTGGTCTTC